TTAGACGACTCAATTAATACATTTCCGCGCATTGCTATCAAATTAAGCCAATTCTAATAAGCTCTCTTCAGGCCGACTCCCGGTGCTCGAAGAAGTCAAGTTTCATATTGCCGAATGGGAAAATTGTGATAAAGTTAAAGGCTCCTGCCAGGCGGAGCAGTCTTCAAGTGGATCCTTTTCCACCGTGACGCCCGGGACAAATGTTACAATGCAGCTTTAAAGGTACCAGTGGCTGTAGCTGAAGTAAAGCCCTCATCCAGCGTCTTTTGACCGCCAGTTAGAGCCTGAGGCAATCGCATAAATCGGTATATTGCCTCGGACAGCCAGTAATGGGTCTAGTCTTTCTGACAAGATTTATCTTGTTACCCAACACGGAATTGTTTTCCCAAAAAAAATACAATTTTCCTTCCAACTCAGCCTTTTCCACCCACTTTTCTTCTCATTGCCCTCTACCCTCTTCGGCCAATTCTGCAAAATGACAAAGTAAGTAGCCACTACGGCCGGACATTTGGGATTCCGCAGCCTAAATGTCCTGTACATCGAGGCTAAGCATGCTACCAGCGAGACACATAAGCCGGTCTAGAGGTCCAGGACGGGTGGTGGCGGCTGTTTCGGTTGGGGTATAAAAAACTATGGCCCAACTTGTACACAGGCCTGGCAGCAAACACAACAAGCAGCATACATGGTGTGGGGCATGGTTACTTGCAGGGCTGATTTAAGGCTTGACTGCCTCATGTCAGTTAAGGCGTCCCAAAATCAGTTCTGTGTGCAGTCGCACACTCGCGTGGAGGCCTGTTTCTTCGGGAGGCCGCCTCCCGACTCGAACAGAATCACAGAAAGAAAAAGACTCTTGGCGGCACATGGAACGCCTGGGCCTATGGCCCAGTCGTCATGGCTAGCCGGGCTGACTTACCGACAGCCATGCAGATCACCAGGGTGATCTTCAGGAGCCATGAGAATTGGGTTCTCGACCTCAGCATCTTGAGAAAGGGTGCCAATAGACGAGGCCTATGTCTGAGACGGTCTCGAGCTGCAGAGGCTGCGGATTCGGGGTTTTCAACAGCCGAGGGGTGGGCTTGAGATGGGGCGCAGATGGAGGTTGCGAGGACGGGGCGGCGCCTCGACAACCGCCCAGCCCGGCTCGGCTAGAGGCACAGGAGTGGGAAAACCGGGGTGCGCGCGCGAGCGAGAGAGAGAGAGAGAAAGAGAAAGGGCAACAACCGGTCCACCATACACAGTCTTGGGTGTGTTTGCACAAACAAACGCACTCAAAAGATAAATGGTTGCGGTGAAATTGAGAAAATTTATTATCCGCACTGCCGGTGCCGCATTCTGGAGGCGGCGGGGAGGGGCAGGCACCGACTGTTGCGATGGGCGTAGAAAGGACAACAAAAGAAAGACCACGTGGAAGCCCCAGAACCGCGTCGGACAGAGCCGGTAACGAG